CCCCAAAACCCCAAAACCCCAAAACCCCAAAACCCCAAAACCCCGAAAGGAAAATTTTAAGTGGAAATTTGGAAAATTATAAAATTTTAGAGTGATGAGTATGGCTGAAGGTAACGCTTATTTCTAGGTAGTCTAATGGAAGGAAAAGAAGATTCGCATAAGACCCCACTTGAAATAAGGACTCCTACACCAGGAGAGAAAAGAGTAATTTATACTTATGTTTTAAAAATATTCTTATCTAGCGTCTAATAAATTTCTATAGGATATAAAAGATAATGCTTTAAGTGATGCTAGCAGTGACTCAGGTATATCATAACCCTCCGTTCGCATTCAAAACTCCTATGTAGACAAAGACAAGAAGAGAATGAAATAGAAAACTCAAGAAATATATAAAAACAGGTATTTTATTTTCTTATTGAAAAATTAGAAAACGAAGAAGAGGTTATTCATAAGGATGACCTCCCTAAAATTCTGCCAAAAGTTAATAAGATCCTTAACAAAAAGATCAAGATTGATGATATTAATGACACCTTCAAAGGGACCTCCATAGATTTTGATATCTTTTATGAAGTCCTGATGAGCATAGCTGAAGAACAACCTGATGCGATTGAGATTGATGACACAGACAAGAAGGAAGAGACTAAGAAAAGTAACAAATAAAGGTATAATAAATGTTAACAAGCCTTGTAGATAAGCCAAAAAATCCAAAATCTGATCCTAAATCTGTTGAATTTACTCAGAACTTGATAACAACTATTAGCAACTATGAATCTCTTATTTGATCTTTGGGTAAAGATGATCCAATGAGAGAGGCTTATGCTGGAGTTATCAATTCTCTTAAGCAACAGTTAGTCAATGCCACCAAGTCTAAGAAGTCAGTATCTTCAGAGAAACAGCTGCCTGTGAATAAGAGTCTGAATCAGCTTTCAGTCTCAGCAATATTTCGTAAGGATTAATGCTTATATCTAGACCATCCGAACAAAGATGAGAGTTTTCAAGAGAAAGAGATGGATAAAAGCCTAGAAAATGCTCTAAACGTAAGCTCTGGTCTAGAGAAGAAGCGGAGCATATCTCCTGTGCCTCTACCTGAGGAAGACTCAGATGTAAGCAGTGAAGATTACGAGTCAGAACTTGAAGAGATTTACACAGCTTACAGCAACCAGTTCATTCGGGATGAAAATTACAATCTCTTTGAAGCCCAATACTCTGCTAAGAAAGGGATTAATGTTGGCAAGTTTGGGAGATTCTGTGCAGATTTCAAATGAAATTTACCAAATAGGAAAGTGACAAAGATCTTCAACAAATTCGTGTTGTAATATAATCCCTTCATATCTAGCTCATCAAGAAGAAACACAACAAATTCTGAGTTCAAAATGAGTTTCCCAATTTTCAAAAATGCTGTGAAGTACATCCCCGTCGCTGAGCGGGAGATTAAACTGGAAGATGCCAAATTCCAGTGGAGAAAGATAAAACTTAAACTAGAGGAAGGAGTCTCCAGTCCTACGAAGAAAGATCACCTGCAACAGCAGAAGAAAGAATATCAAAAACAAATCACGTAAGGGTCCTTTTAATAAGAAATAGACAGTTAAAGAATATCAAGAATGAAGAAAAAGAATATAAAAAATTTCTTAAAAGGATTGGCATCACTAAGTCAAAGAACTACCGCCATAAGATTATTGATGCCCATCAACCCTTCATGATGAAACGAGACGGATCAAGGTAAGCCTTTTATCTCTAACATGCAGAATTCCAGCTGAAAAGCAGGAGAGTAGGATGGAGAAGATCGCAGTGCTCCATTCCAAACTAAAGCATCTCTACGAGGAGAGATACGGGAGTAAGTTACTCATTCTGAAGTTTTAGAAAAATAAGGCCAAGAAGATCCTCCTCAATCACAACATGCTGCAAAGACTAAAGGAAATCAAGAATTTTTAAGAAAGATGCCTCTTACAAGAAGAGGAAACTAGAGAATAAGGAAGAAGAGGTTAAATATATTGACCAGCTGGTCACCTTAGCTACTCTTACTAAGAGCGACTTCGCTAAGTTCATGCAACCTAGAGATAAGCAAGAAATTGTAGAAGATATTGACTCCTTTCTAACAGATACTCTTGGCTATGAGAAGAACGAACCCTTCGACACAACGGATGGGTTCAAGTCCTTCCCACCTATTGGTAAGAAATCTGACAGAAAGAAGAAAGGCATACTCAGGTTTGATGTCAAGAGCCGCATTAGAGAAGTCAATGAGGATACTGAATACGATGTGAGTGTTGGCTTGATCTGTTCTAGAAATCAGAGATCATGACCATGGTTAGTGGTAAAGATGCCAAGTCTATTAAGACTACAGATCAAGATAACACAACTGAGGTTGAGAGATCGACCTTTGGAGGTAGAAAGCAAACAAAGATGCGTATCTCTAAGGATCAGATTAAAAAGAGTCGTAATGCAGGCAAGGATCTTAGTCTTGGCAAGCATAAGACTCAAAAATTACCTAATGTCAAGAATAGTTCTAGTTCAAAATTTTTGGATAAGTCAAAAAGAGATCAAAGATCTATGTCTAAATCAAAATCTAAGTCTAAAAAGAAGTTATCTCAGTTAGCGATTACAGATGGGTCTAAATTTCCTTCCAAAAGGCAGATGTTATCTGTTAAGAATCATCCTGTGGGGAACAAGACTTCAAGAATGTTTGCACCAAAGCTTAATAAAGATCTTCCGATTTCTCCAAGACAACAAAGACTAATGAAAAAGCCATATGGAAGGTATAAAAGCTCAAAGTAATCATATCAAAAGCTTATCTTCTTAGACCTCCAAGTGAGCATCAAAGTGAGGAAGAAGAGGAGCCAGAAACACCTGCATCTTCTGAAGAAATTCCTGTCCTACCAGATATTCAACAAAGCTCCCAAATAGTCGGTATGCTATTCTTCACCTGTAGCTCTATTAAGTTCAAGACTGGATAAGACTGAGAAGTACAGTAACGTAATAGAGAACCTGAATAAGATCAAGGGGAAGCCGAACAGGTCATTCTACCAGCAGTAAGCTTCCTCTAACCCTATTAGATGAATAAAAACCCAAAAAGATATTGATAAGCCTAAGGTAACGAAGTCTTCAGGTTTTGGGAAATATGATAAAGAGGATTATAAATAATTCAAACTAATGCTTCTATCACTGCTGACTAGCCTGGGGTTTTGGGGTTTTGGGGTTTTGGGGTTTTGGGGTTTTGGGG